ACTCCTTAAAGGGGGATTATGTAGGGGAACAGGTAGGGCAGTATTATGGGTGTTATTAAGGGGGATACTAGGAGTTTAGACTATAGCTCAGATGGCTTCAAAAATATCCTCCTGTTCCATCTTTAGAACTCTCAGTTTTCGCAAAGCATATTCTGCCGAAATTTGCAGTGCTCGCCCCAGGTAGCCCACAAAAGGGTTTCCAGGTCGGCGGTAAGAAGCAATTCCCAGCAGAAGGGAGTATTTCCTATCGCAGTGGCCAACAGGTTCCAGATTTGAGCAAGGGGGCTAAGGGTTTAGGGTTTAGGGTCAGCGGGAGCAAGCAACATTCAAACCAGGAGGCGTCGTGATATTGTCCCCCTAATGTTCCTTGCTTATGTGTTGCCTTTATGATGATAGATACCCTGAAGGGGTTCAGGCTCCGGTGTCTTTAAGCCCCTACTCCATAAACGCTAAAGGCCCTAAACCCTGCACTCCAAACAAATATTTAAACCCTACCTTCAAACCATGTTGCAGTCCCAGCACCTGATTTCAGCCCCTAGTATTAACCCTTTAACCCTAAACCCACAAGGGGGGTTCCCAAAATGAGGTGTACCCTTTTGGGTGTTCTCATGATAAGGACTGGAACATTTCGGGCTCTATATGGGGGTCCCCTTATTTATGGAAACTACCAAATAGCCATGTCAGAGGAACGGTTCTGGCATCTCCACGTGGGCGCGGCCGGGGCCTGGGTTCGTTAAGCCTTCTTGCCCTCAGGGTTTAGGATTTTAATTCAAAGGGTTTAGGAGTTAGGGCTTGTAGTTTAGAGCTTTACTGGTGCCTAGGGGGATAGGGAGGAGTGAACATGAGGACTGTCAATCAAAGGGTCCCGGTCGGTATACATTCGGACCCTAAACTAGATCTATGTGACCCACCTTGGCCAATAAGTCCAATACTACTTGTATCTACTTACATGATCCCATTGGGTTTAGGGTTTAGGGAGTGTACCAGAGTTATAAAACATCAGATGCACTTCCCCATTCCCAAAGAAGTATCAAGGGGAGTTGCCCTTGGTTGATGTTTTCTTCAAGGGGGATTTCTGTTTTGTAGGGAGGTATATAAACAGCCTAATTGATGTGTATAGGGCATGATCTACATCTTAGGTTAAGCCTGGTAAGGCTTACGGTAAAGAGACCATCAAGCTAATCATTCTTGGTTGTTTCTCCAGTTCGTTTACGCCTAGCAGGCCTAGCATCCTAGGACTATGTCTCCTGGCTTTGCGCAGCCATCGGAAAGTCTAGCACTTTTGCGCTGTGATGGACAAGGGGGTCTAGGTATGCCACTGTACAGAGGCAGTATGTGCTTGCTCATGGCTACTGGCTCAAGTTATTTACAAAGCCTCCAAAGCAAAGCATCACTTGACGCCGCCATGGCCCGCTTGGCTGCATCTCTTTTGGCTGTTGCCGTCCTTGGCGCCGCAGAGCCTCTGCTCTTCGAGCCGGACCCCTTTGCCAGCCCGCAGCTGCGAGGAGCCGATCCTTTCGGCGACAGCGAGGAAGAGCCGGGGCGCAGTGACAAGTGGCTGAGGGACATCAGCAAACGGGCCAAGAACCACTTCAAGAAGTTGCTGCAGCCATTGCAGACGCCCATTGTGCAGGAGTACCAGGTCCTCGGCATCCTTGATGGATACGTGAACTACACGATGCAGCTTGTTGCAAATGCTACGGGCCATGATGTCATTTGGAACCGAAGCGCGGGGCGTTTCCTGGCCGAGGAGACACGTGAGTTGAAGCAAGAGCTGCCCCCGCGAGCACGCTACATCAACAAGATTCTGATCTACATGAACAAGGAGATGGACGTGGTCTGGAACTTCAAGACTATGATTGACAGGAAGCGCTGGGGCGTTGGGAACGTCATCACCTCATCGCCCTATGGCCCACACGGGGAGCACCCGGAGCGCTGGCGAGCTAATGGCTCGTGGCCACTTCCCAGGGCCAGGCCGAACCAGACCCTCCTCCTCCAGGATGCTTAGGGGGCCCATTTTAGGGAGTTGAGGTCACGGAGATTAGGGTTGAGAAAACAGAACTTAAGCATGTGTTAAGGAATCCCCCTGCAGGAGCAACCGACCAACCTGGTCCTGCGCATCAAGCCAGACGTTGACGAGCATGAGAACAAGTATGCGCAGCAACTTCAGGCTGACTACGAGTCCTTGGTCTACAACATCAATGATGCAAGCAAGAAGATGAGCGACCTCCGTACCCGGCTGTGGAAGATGGAGGACTTTGCCCACCAATTCATCGTTCTTCCGTCCGGAGTGTGGAACAAGATTGATGCGAACTGAGGCATCTTGCATGAGCTTTTGGTGCTTGGGAGAATCTCCCTTGTTTTCCTTGAGGCAGGGCGAATGTTCACTTAGTTCAATTTTGATCGCCCTGGTGTCCACAAGAGACACACTTAATCCGATCTAAACAATTGGAGTTCTAGGCTGATTTAAGATGCCCAGTCCTGGCAAGTCTGTCAGAGTTCCAGACTAGGCCTGGACTGAAGGTATCAATCAGGACAACAGACGAGCAATCAGAACGATCAAGTGGATTATCCGTTGCAGTCCTGTTCAGATTGTGGGAGTGTAGATGTTACGACCACTGGGGAAGCAGAGCTTTTTCAGACATTGGGGTCAATCCGAAGGACTCACCACTATCAAGACATGTACAGCAGAGGCTTGAAGCTAGTTTTGGGAGCAGGATCCCTTTGCAGTGGGCGTATGATGGGGGCTTGCTCTACCTGAATCGCCCTGCTTCAGAAACAACCTGCAATGTCCAGGACAAGACCCAGGCCTTGTCTTGTCGTCTGGAGTTTGAAAGCGGTTTAGGGTTAAGGGTTTGAAATAGCTTTTTGGAGCTCATCCATTGCAGCTATGCAGATGGCTTTTTAGGTGTCACGAACTATTTGGATTTGAACACGCAAAGCCAGTCCTTACCAACTCCCACGAGAAGGAACTTTTTTTTTGCGCGTCGCAGGCCAATCACAGACAGGAAACTTGGGTCGGTCAGGAGTGGCATCTGCTAGCAATGCCTGCGCAGCTGTAGAGATTGCAACCGCTGTCAGATGCAGCACTTTGGTCCACATGACGCATAAGACAAGAAGTTTACAAGCAAGGCAATGACATTCGCTGCAAAATCTTTACAACCAACGCAAGCTAATGTAGTTGAAAATCCACGGGCGGATCCCTTTGGCATCGTAGATGCAGGTCACACGCGCGACTCCACAAGCACATGATGACATTCCAAAAAACATTCAGCGTTCATGGAGGCCCTGGAAGATAACCCCTCCCCCCCACCCGAAAGCCCAAACCCCAGCTTTGAACCACAGACCCTACATCCTAAAGCTTAAGCTGAACCTCTCAACCCCCAAAACCCTAAACCCCTACACCCTAAACCCTAACCCCCAAACCCTAAACCCTAAACCCCAAACCCTAAACCCTAAACCCCAAGCTCTTGTCTCTTTTGGCACTTCGTGCCGGGCTCCGGATGGAGCCATGCGCTCTGAGCTCCAGGAAAGCGATCCGTTTCCTTGGCAGCAACTTAACGCCCTAGAGGGTCCAAGGACCCAAATAATAGGGTCCCTTTAAAGGGTTTATAGGGGGATATATGGGGATATAGGGGAATAGATAAGGGTCCAAGGACTCAAATAATATGGTTTTAGGGCCCAAATACTATAGTCTTAATGGTATTTGGGCCCTAAAACCCTATTATTTGGGTCCTTGGACCCTTAGGGTTAACGCAGAGACAGCATGCGATGTGTAGAGATGTCTATGTAGAATGTAGAGGTATACAGCAGAACAGAAAGAACTATCGGGAAATATAGGAATTTACAGGGATATGTAGAGATGTAGATGGGGGGTTAAACAATGAAAAGATAATGAATCCTTTTCGGGGTGTCTTTAGGGTAAGGGTGATAGTATCACAGAGAAGGGATATACATATTTGGAAGTAGTCAGAGGGTTTCGAGGGGTTTGTGATTGAAGGGCTTTTGGTCTAGCTTTAGGACTTCATTAGCGTTAAGGGCTTTCAGGACTAGAGTTTCAGTGTCTAGCGGCTGCTCAAGCATATGAGTGAATGCCATCCGAGAGCGGGGCAAACAGAGTGACCCTTACGTTGAGAACTAGAGGGTCGATGTTGGGTGCTGTAGGGATGAAGGGCCGAAATCGAACCCATACTGATTTTTGGGGAACCACCTGAAAGATTTACGATGTCGATGTCCTTTTTTTGGATGCCTCAATTTCATGTGTCTGTGTACTGGCTCACTCAAGGAGTCTCAAAGGCCCGTGAATGTCAGGAGACGCAGGACTTAAGGCCAGCCAGGCGGAGACAAGAAACCGCTAACTGCATCCCAGGGCCTCAAGCGCTTATTCTGCCTACGTTTGCATGCAGAGCAGTGGGCAGGTTATGTTTAGGTCTGAAGCCTAGAAGGTCCAAGAACCCAATAGATACCATGGTTTAGCTTTCTCATGCGATGACAGAACAGTTTGCCATGGCCCCCCCCCCACCCCCCACCACCCTTCAATGCAATCGTAGCGCAGTAGCCGCAAAAGCCTTAAGAGGAGTTCAAATACTGACCTATGGTGGGTCCCAGGTTCTTTGTATACTCATAGTATAGGGTACCCCAAGTAGAGCTGAAAATCACATTCGTAATGATTCAGGCCCCAACATTTGCATGAAACATGCATTTGCTGCACTTCGTTGCCTGTTAAGCACCATAGTATATTATAGTTGACTATATTATAATAGACTATATTTCACTATAGTATATAATATATTATATCATACTATAGTATGTATACTATATTATTTGATATTATAGTAGATTATGTTATATTGTTGAGACGCCAGCATGCAAGCATATACATCCACGCGTGAGACAAGGGAAGGTCAGCTGGGTCCTGCAAGGACTCAATAAGTTTCACGGAAAGCAGAGTAGGACTTCGCATGCGTACAGGTGCGATCGCAGCAGTTCTAATTCCAGCTCACTTTCCAAGTTTGCTGCTGTTTCTTGTCTAGCGGGTGGCCAGTAGGGACGGGAGGAATGGATCCAGGGTTTTGGTCTAGGGTTTAGGTTTGATCCAGCAGTCCCTGTTTTCTTTACCATTCCGTCCAGCCTAAAGCCTAAGGCCTCAACCTTCAAGAAGCTATAGTACCTATTCATTTTTCAGTCCTTGACCTTAGTCCCCTATGTAGTCCTCATGCAAGACTAAGGATGGTCCCTCTTCCTGTTTTTCTAGAAGACACTGTTTTCCTAGATGTTTCATGTCCATGTTATTGTTCAATTGTTTCTACTTACCCCAATACAAACCTTATCCCCATTGCACCCTGAAAGGGAACCCAAAGGTCCCAAACCCTTAAGCCCCAAAACCCTAATAGTAATAATAACAATAATAGCAATAATAATTCTAATAGTAATAGTAACAGTATTAAGAAGAGTAATAGTATAGCCAGCGGGCAGTTGCAGTGATGAGCCCGAAGAGGTTGGTTGCCCGCACCGCACGCATCCGAACACGACAGCCAAGCCAGGCCAGAGTACAGGGTACTGAGGGTTTGGAGGTTATATGGAGGTTTTATAGGGGGTGTATAGGGATTGCCAGTGTACATCAGCGTATTAAGCGGTCCCGGGTTTAGGGGTTACATAGGGGTTATATAGTGATAAAATGGAAAAGAAAATGGCAACTACTATTTGGGGTTTAGGGATTGGGGTTTAGGGTTCAGGGTGTAGAGTGTACTGAGGGTGAAATATTAAAGGGGTTATATAGGAGACTACTATAGGGATTATATTATAGAGAATTATTATGGGAGCTATACAGGGGACTATCAAAGGGATTATATAGGGGTTATACAGGGAGAATGGAACAGACAATGGAAGCTACTAGTTATGGTTTAGGGTCTAGGGTTTAGGGTGTATGCCTCACTGTGGGTTATTATACATTATGACATATTAGGGGTATAATATAGGGGTTATATGGAAACGAGAATGGAATCTACTATTTAGGGTCTAGGGTTTAGGGTGTAGAGTTCAGGTGGGTTTGGGGTTTAGAGTCTATGGGGTTTAGAGAGTTTAGGGTCTACAGGGTTCGGGGTCTAGGGTTCAGGATTGAGGGTGCAAAGGGTTCAGTGCTGAAAGGGTTTTATTAGGGTCTAGGGTTGAGGGATTAGGGTCTATAGGGTTTAGGGTCTGGGGGTTGGGGAGTTGGGTCTACAAAAGGTTTAGGGTCTAGGGTCTAGGGCAAAAAAGGGTGCTGATGATGTAGGAAGTGCTCAAATTTGCAGGGCCCTTAAGCCCCTAAGGAATACATGGGGATCATAGGGTTCTCATGTACTCATGTACTCATATATGGTTCTTGTGGGGGGCCTTCTATGTACTATAGGCTAAACTCCTGAAAGGGGGTTATAGGAGAGTATTATAGGGGCAGTTAAGACGCATGCTAGGAGTTTAGACTTAGACTATAGCTCATATAAGGCTAGCTTGTTGTTATGCAGGGTTACTGGCCTTCGGTTTCATCTGGCTTGTGATGTAGGGGTATAGGGTAATGGAGAATCAAATGAAAAAAAGAAATGGAAGTCTGAATGGCTTATGCGCGTATAGAGGCTGTTAGAGTCGGGGTAATGCAGAAGCAAATTGGTAAGAAGATGTAATCTACTAATTACGGTTTTTGGCTGAGGGTTTAGGGAGCATGAGAATCAAGCGGACAAGAACATGGAAACTGTGCTTCTACTGGGCTCTCAGGCTTAGGAATGTACGGGCATTATTATGTCATCACAACTCGGTCTTGGGCCATACTTTACTACAGTCTCAGAAGGCTATGATGGAATGGTTTTGGTAGTTGTTCTGGCTGGGCAATCACCACCAATACAGTTTGTTTTATCGGGAGTTTTCGAGGATTCATGGCGGAGACCGCCCTTGAAGTAGCCTAAGCCCTAAACCCTAAGTTCCCTGAACCGTAGTATTCTGAAACCTTGAGGTCCCCAAATTATTGTAGTTTGCTGGAACCCTAAGTTCCTAAATTGTAGTATTCGGATTTCAAGAAGAGGGACTGGCTTTCTGGCTTCTGGGCTGGAGTTGTTCAGGGGTTCTTCAACGACCACAGAAGAGGCCCAGAAACTCAAGATTCGGACAACTCCCTAAACCCAAAGGGTCTAAATGTCTAGATATATGGGTTTAGGGTTTAGGGTGGACTTTGGGTGCAAAGTGGTTCCAAAGAACTATTTCGAGGCCCCAGGTATATACTGTACATGACCTAATATAATTTCATCTCGATTTCATACAACCCCAATTATAAACCTGTATAGCCGT